GGCCAACGTTTTTTCGTCCTGTCCAAACGATAACAGAATTTTGTTTGGAATAATCTTAAGTTTATTAAATGTTACAAATATTTCTTTAAATAAACTTGAACGAAAGAACATTGATCTTTGATAAAATCTCTACATAGGTAGTATAAAATAGGTAGTAAGTCGCTTCCCTTCGTCTGTACGCTTAGGTCTGTTAAACTACGCAAAAATATCAATAGACAGAATGATTCAAGAAGAAGTTTGTATGAATAATACATGCATATGTTGTCGAAATCCAAAAAACACTCGTGCGAAGCCGAGGCGGATCGCTAGGGTCTAAAGAAGTATGCCCACTTTCCATACATTGATTGACTTGTCACTTGATTCGTTTTACAGGTAGCGTCTACCTACAACTACTGTTGCATAAAGCCAATTTTGTTTACAATAACGTAATAACTTATCACCTTATCATTTAGAGGCCAGGGAAAAATGCTGTAAAGTAAATAAGTTTTACAGGTCCTGTCAACCTGTCAACTGTAAACTATAGTATAAGTATGGTGTGGAAAGAAAAATAACTTACCACACCATAGTATAAAACCACAAAAAATTATATCTAATCATACAATAATAAGATAAGTAACAATAAACAATTGGTTATTTTGAACATTCATAAACCACATGACGAATTAATAAGATTATCGTAGTCTGTGAAACGAAACGTGTAAAACACGTTTTTTTTTAATATATTTTGGCATGGCTTCTGGGCCTTTAAGTCATTGTAAAACGCGTTCCGTCTCCAAAAGTCTATTGAGAATGATAAACGTAGTAGTATTACTTTTTTTCTGGCTTTGTTGGAAATTTCAATTATGGGATAGGAAATAAAGGCAATTTTATAAGATATTTTACATCACTGGACGCGTTAGAAAATTTTCAGGTCAAGATTGGACATGATTCTTGGTATAAAGCTGCTCTTTATTGACATAATAATGTAGCTCTTGAATTAATACGCATTTTGGTCAGGCTTGGGACAACAGCTCACTTTCAATGTTAATTATTTTAATATCGATTTGATTTATTATCATTAACATTCATTTGCTTTTATAGAATTAATACTAATGATGATGAAATATGATTATTTATGTATCTGTGAACAAGACATAAAGATAATATGAATGCATATTAAAGTATAAGTAACAAAACTTTTTTAAACTTTAGTGACTTCGAACTAGAATCCAATTTAATAACAAAATATTTAGAAATATTAATAATGTTAAGAGAGCTCTGATAATATCTTTTTTTTAATTTGACGAATTTAATCGAATTTATTCTTAACTTAATTTTTCGCTACGGATGTTTCGGTCGCTGTGTTTGCTTAAGGTCACAGGACTGTGGAGTTTTATATCGTAACGCTGTTGTCAACACTGGCTCCACTTTACCTGTATATTACTATCGTATCATCATCCAATTTATGAATAAATAAGTTATTGTATTTTGAATTCCAGCAGTAGTATTAATTTTATACACTTGTTTGGCTTTAATTTTATTATAACAGGTACAATTCAAGGTAGCCTAACACTCAGTCGTCTACTGAAATAAGGATGTTTTCATTTTATTTTATGTAGCCTAGAAAATCATTCTAGATTTGTGGTCCATCAAACCTTGGCGGGAGATGTCTGGAATATGATCGCAGACAGCCACGCTCCAGGAATTATGTACTTTATATCTATAGAAATATGAACTACCTATAAACTTAATTACTTTCACCAGTCATCAAATATTTGTTTTGTTTCTTTGCAAACATTCAACAAAAAATTTTTACCAACTTCCCAACTGTTCTGATTGAAATTCGACGTGAACATTGGAATAAGTTGGGTGCAAACATGAAAGTTTAGTTTTGATGTTAGGTTCGGTAATCATTATATCAAAGGGAAGTTTAGATCAGTTTGTCTGACGGGTGTCTTTTGATATTGTTGTAACTTTTTACTGTAGTGCCTTGGTAGCTCTAAGAGAAATGCCGAAAAATGTCACAGCTTACGATACGTGTATAATCATTAGTATTCGAGTATACGTTCGAAATGTAAAATGCCCAGACCAGAGTAGCGTGAATCTTGCGAAATACCTAAGTATATCAATCGGAAATCTACCCGCTAAGCTAGGCAAATTTATGGAATCCTTACGTGAGAGGATTGTGTTCAATGAACTATTAGGATATAACGAGGAAGAAGAATATTTCGGACATATGCGGATATTGCTTGCACTAAACGAAAACGGCGGTCTTTGGTCTACGTTGTTTCATAATCTTTTAGAAAATGAGCCGAGGTTTGCTTAATTTTTTCACATAAAACACCATTGAGAGATATTCATGTGGTTGTTTTATCGGTTTTATTATACATAAATTACAATAAAAAAGATAACATACAATAAGATACAATAGTACTTTCACAGCTGGACTTAAATCTTCCTAATGACTATTATAATAAATATTTTATACGAAGCTAAGTAGTATAAGTGGTAACGGCCGTGGTAGCATAGATGGTTAGCGCTCGCTGTAAATTTAACAGTACGCAAGCAAACGGGTTCGATCCCCGCCGGCACCAATGAAATTATAAAGTTCGCCAACACGCATTGGGGCAACGCAGCGCGGCGAACACTTCCATACCCTTTCAGAAATGAGAGGAAGCCTGTGCCAAGCAATGGAAACGTATATAAGCTGTAACTTTAACGAAGCTACAAATGAAATAGATACTCTAACTCAAATTTTCTTTTTTTAAACATTTGTATTGATTAATATAATTTTAAATTACGCAAATATCAGGTTTTCTATAAACATTTTATGACAACATTGTAAAAACTATCCACTGATCTCCTGTCATGTCTAAAAGAGTAATGGGAATGCTATAAAGCGCCTGAAATAGCGGGAATTCAACAATGAAACAATTGAACTGCGAATTCTGAAAATTACATTGTAATAGCTTATTTAAATAATACTAGTTTTTTTTAATTATATAAAAAAGTATATAAAAAATTAAAGTTATAAGAAAGTTAATATACGCGATAAAATCCGTAAAAACTAGTACTATTTAAATGTGTAAAGTTCGCGTAAGTATAAGAAAACATTATGTAATAATGATTTCTTATACTTATAAGTATACCTTTTCTAGTACTTGCAAGTACTTATAAGTAACTATAAAGATTTCTTTCTTATAAGTATACTATATAAGAAATCATTATGTAATAATGATTTCTTACACTTACGCGAAAGAAATCATTATTACATAAAGAAATCATTATGTAATAATGATTTCTTATATTATAATAAAACAGAATACGTAGTTCACGAAATTACGTGTTTTATTTTTTGAATTTTATTCTTGTAAATTATTCATCTTGTAATACGAGGCATAAATGTCTCATTTCGCAACGTAAGGAAGCGAGCGTTTTAACCACTAAACCGCTTCCAGCTTCTAATAGCTAGGACTATTGCGGTTACGTTGAGTCTTGAGTAATCGCTCTATTTGTCAACCGCTTAGACCTAGAAAGGTCCCAAATTAGCCTATAATTTATCAAAGGATAAGTTGACTTAGTATAATGTTTTCTGAAGAAATATGATGTTGCAGATTGCATTGGTGAAATAATTATGAATAGCTTAAAGAAGCTCGCTGCGGGTAAATTGCATTATTAACTGGCTTTGTAAAATTATAATAAATTTATTTATTTTTCCCGACCGCCCAAGAATAAGGGTAATGTTTTTCCAGAGATTGTATTTCTATTTATTTGACACGCTTTGTAGCCTAAATGGCTTGATGGATTTTAACATATAAATCGTCGTCAGATTCGCCTTAATTACCCTTACTGGACATGAATGTATAATATATGTGTAAGAGGTGTGTAAGGATTATGCCAAATGAAAGTCTATAGTTTCTGCCCACCCCACTGAGTAACAGGCGTGAGGGCTTGTTTCCTTAATGCCGTTAACCGTCCCTTTATGTAAATACATATATTTTGCCACCTTTTATTAGCTCGCTTCCTCGCCTATTTGGCACAAATTTTGAAATGGATTTTAAATTAACTTCTCAATGAGCGAGAGACTTGTATATTAAAAATAGCTCAGAACTGTATGACAATGTTATATTAACTTACTTTCTTGTTTGTTTGTTTGTCTGTTTAGTACAAATTTAGCAATCGATTTTAATCTAACTTCTCGATGCGTTAGAGGTTTAAAACTTTAAATATGGCTTAGTGCTAGAAACGTGGTAAAACTGGTTTCTTTCTTTAATTATAATTTTTATAGACATAATGGGTGCGTTTGGCAGAAAAAAGCGCTAGCAAGCGCTTGTAAATAAAATGGCGATCGTAAGCGGTAACCGCTGTCAAATCGTAAGTAGCTATTTTCACAGAACACTATTACTCCTATCGGAGGCTATTTTCCTCCAGGACACGATGTTAGTTTTAACCGGGGAATCTAACCTAATTTAAATATATGTTTGTAAAGTATTCATATTAAAAACTTACCAATCATGAATTTTAATAACATGTATATGTCTATTCATGTCATTATATTACTTAAAACTAATATTTCTCAAAACAACTTATAAACTCTACTTCAAAATAAACAAATTAAATAAGCAAAATGGCGGATTGTGTCAGCGCTACTGAAGTAGCAATCGTGTCCTGGCCGAAAACTATTTTAGCGCTTGTTAGCGCTTGCTAGCGCTTTTTTCTGCCAAACGCACCCAATCTATGGGCGTAACTTAAATTTAATATAGTTTTGTATTCTATATGTTGTGTACCACGACAAATTCTATTTCTATTCCAAATTTCATTGGAATCTATCCGTATCTTTACATTATAATATTAATATTTTTGAAAGTCTTTACAATTTTATTATTAATAACAATAATGTACTCCAGACTGACTTTTGGTCAAGGGAGGCCCCCTTGACCAAGACCACCTCAACGGAGACTAGCCAAAAAATTCTCTAATGTTAAATCACATACGTAATTATCATTATTTCCTTGTTACAGATTTGGCAGAATTCGAACAAAATTATGTAATAGTGCTGTTTCATAAGTGTGTTAGAATCCAAAATGACGTTCGGGTGTAGATGTGTTTTTTTAAAAGTGGTCAGTATGGCACTGATAATTATTATCAGTGCAACGGTTGAAGTCACCTCGGTGAAAGGAAGGGCGGAACCACATTCGTTTACAATAGATGAGCTGCTGTCGTCGCATTATGAACACAAGCATTCAGATGACCTTGGTATGGATCCTTGTAAAGCTGGTAAGTACAATTTTTTACTTTTTTTGACTAGTGGTTGAAATTCGACCGTAATTCATTAAATTTCAAATGTATTTATTACGCAAGCTGTATTTACCTTTCTACTGTCAGTCGCAGTCAACTAGCTTAATTAGCCTTTCAATTAACAGGCTAACTTTTTAATAAAATTAATAAGGTGACCATGCCACGTAATGTTGCTGGTCTGTGCCTAATTTTGCGTTATGTGCTATATTATATTAATGGACTTAGCTTTATGGTGGACCAAGAGTCACCCCAGCCGTACCTTAACCTGTGTCGCTGATATTACAAGATAGGTGCAATGTTGTATTAACAGAGCCCTATAGTAAAAAGGATAGCTTGTTAACTAAAAGGCTAATAAAGCTAGTTGGCCGCGACATATAATATATACTGGGTGATTTCTTTTACCATTAGGAAAAAAATAGGGTGTAACAGGTGAACAGAATAGAAGCCTATAGTGGCATTTTTTTATTTTTACTGTGATTATCAATAAATTACTAATTTGAAATAAATTGATATTTTTGAAGTATTTTTTTAAAATTTTTATATATTAATTACCCAATTAGTAATATTTATTGATAGATAAATTTTAATTGTTAGTAAAATAATTGTAAAATATCAGTTTTACACCCTATATAACCCAGTATATGTGTATTATCTCTGCTTTCAGCTGCGCAATAAAATATAAAGCATATATCTAGTATACCAAATACATAGACAGAGAAACTCACCGGTTAGACTAGACTAATGATTAGCGTGTCCTCGAGTGAGAAAGGACAATAACGTAGTTTTAGGTTATCTTTATGACTTTTAAACATATTTAGATAAAAATTTTAAATGTTCTAAGAACTAAAATGAACACGATTCACCAATCTTAAGCTCACAGAACACTTTTTTCTGACTTAACCTTGTAAGCTCCTTAGATCGCTACGAACTGTCAAAGTTGTTTAGCAAAGTGTAGTTTGCTAAACAAAAAAATCAGCACGGAGAAAGGGACAAACAATCACACCGCTCTGTCTCATTTCTATGCATAACGTATACATAAATCTATGTTTTTCGTGTGCGAATGCGAAAGAAGGCGTCAATTTGTCTATAGGTTTCTCTGTCTACGATCTCTACACTGTGCGACTGTTTGACCATAGATTATCATTTGTTTTACAATTGAATTGGCAATATGAATGTAAACAATTAATGATTTTTTTGTTTAATGCATTTGTAACACACAGCATTGTTAATTTTAGCCTTTTGCTTATTTTTTTCCACTTTTAATCTTACACTCCTCCGTATGCTCAGTATGTTTTGAAATGTATACAAAGTTTTCTCTTCACTTGTTAATATATAGATGCACAAAATTAATACATCAATATATCATTGTCGCGTCCCGTTTTACCGTGAGTGTTGTGTTCACTATGAAAAATGCCAGAAACTTTATGATTTCCGATAGATGGCGATATAACCATTGTGTTTATGTCAGGTGTAAAATACAGAAGGCGACGACGGGCAGCAGTAGTAATGATGCGAAACGTCTGGTAATGCTATCGACCATCCACCTAAGTGTGACAATTAACATGAATCCTCCCTACAACGGAAGAAGCCAAGAGTGCCGAATCATCCCTACTTTGGAAACGGCTCATGTCCAACAGTGGAGCTTTATGGGATTATTATTTTAATGATTATTCATTACTATAGTTATTTAACGAGCTCGAAGAACAGATAACCGATGGGGAGGAAAGGTTCTCGAGTGGCAACCTCGTACCGGTAAGCGAAGCGACGGGCGGTCCCCACTATATCGAGTGACGACGTGTTAATATATGCTAGAAATCGATGGATGCAGGTGGCTCAGGACCGCGCTTAGTGACGTTCCTTGGGACGTTCCATAATGATAATGGTGATGATTTTTACCCACAGTACATTGTAATAGGTATTTTATAACAACAATATATCTACAACATGTGTCTATATAATATTAACTCTAAAAATGGCAAAAGGTGACTACGGAGTTTCTTTCGCAGTTTCTTCTCCAGGCAGAGGAACCTCAATTAGGAACGGTAGTATATACAGTAGGTTTAAAAGCATGACATTGACAAACGAAATTTGTTTGCTTATAACGAAATAATAACGATATTTCAATTCATATCTCTCATTAATGAGAGTTTGATTAATATGATTCAGAAGATTTTTTTCACACTTAGATGTATTCACAATGGTGTGCTGTTTTCGGAGTCCAAATTATAAAATATCAGCAATCTGCCCTCGCTTTACACGGTTGATGTCTGGATTCTACAACAGAGCCACCTACCCAGTCTAACTATGGCTATAACCTTCGCGATCTAATTAACGGTATGGCAGCGCATAAAATATTATTTTTTTTTTTTTATAACAAAAGTTATTTTGTTATATATTAGATTTCCTGGTGCTTTAAAAAAATAAATATTCACAAAAAACAAGCATACTTGAAGTATTTCCTATTCACTGCTATTAAAAACAAGCAAAACATTAAAAAGGGTTCCGTGATATGGCGAACTCTCGTCACGGCCACAATTAAATATGGCCGATTACCTCTTCAACGAGCAAAACACCGTCTCATTACGGCGATCCAAGTGATGAGACATCGCGGGATTTAAAGTTAACCAGCTGTGCCTATACGAATTATAGAAAACGAATAAGCAAACAAAATGTATTCATATCTTTTGTCGGAAATCTTCGAGGGCGCATATACAAATAATACATGGGACCGGGTTCGGATTCCGGGGCATGCCGTAATCAGTTATTAGGTATTAGGTCGTGTCGTGTTGGCTTACCGTCCTATCGGACTTTGAGAGTGTGAGAATAGAAAATGCACTTGTGTTTGCGCATACACTCGGGCACTATACTCCTGGCCTGCGCAGATGGCTAATCTCCGTTAAGAATGACCAACGAGACCAAAATTAGGTCTGGAGGTCATTACGTTTACGGTATATACGAATATATATTATGTATATGCATACGACACATAGAAGTTTAGGAACTCATAGGGCTGCCTTTAATTTTGTAGAACTTGAATAACATGTGTTTTATAAATTTGGAACTTGGGTAGGGTTGGACCAAAAAATATATTTAAAATTTGAAGGTAGCCTTCGTTAACTATGACGTCAGGGCTTCAAACATCTCAATCCCCCCTATGAATATGGGTGCTGTAATGTAGCCGAACGTGGGGAATTTAAAAAAGTTAAAATTAAACGCGACAAAATCCGTAAAATTAGTTTTATACTGTATATTAAACACAATAAGTAGCCTTTTCTCCTGGTATTTTGGTATCATAGCTGTAACTTCGCCTCGAACGTCCGATTAATATATTGAGTTATACAATACAATGCTCTTTATTGTACACCAAGAAAGATTAATATAACAAAAATAAACAAATTTTGAGGAAAAAAACAAAAGCTGGTCTTATTGACAGCAATATAATGCTATATAGATAGTAACCCTTTCTAGACAACTCAGAAAAATAATGAAATAAAAAAAGAAAATTTATTGTGAATGAATAAAATGAAATAGTAATTCCTTTTATCTTTAATAAAAGTTGGTACTAGTAAAGTTTTAATTACATCACACACGTACATACCTCCTCTCATTTCTGAAAGGGCAATTACTAAAGGGCTACACCGGTGCGCGTTGTGGATTTCACATGTCCTCAAAATATTTTGTTTCTTAATCATGCAACCCGACGATGTTTTCCTTCACCGTTAGTCTTTTAAATAAGAACTCAAAAATGTGTATCTATGAAATTCAGCAGAAGATCAAATTCTGATCTCTGAAATACATTAGGATAACGTTAATTGTTAAAGATAATAAAAATGTGGGAATTATAAAACTGTGAATATACATCTATAGAAAGCAAAAGTAAAAGTATATTTACAGACTGTTTTATTACATATATATATATATATATATATAATGTCCTCCAAATCGAATCCATCGGCGCAAGACAGAATTTTATCGCCCAAGTGTATGCGCAAGCACAGGTGCACTCTCTATTCCTTCACTCTTACAGTCCGATGGGACGGTAAGCCGATACGACCGGAGAGAGGTCAAGCGCAGTACGGCTTGATGTGTTTTCCGAGGCACGGGGGTGAGACACCGCCAGCTTCTTATCTCCGGGCAAGCTACTGAGGTTCTCGATGGAAATTTTCAATAACAGATTTTTACATATATTATATACATTACTATTGTTATTTTTATTTGCATTTTATTGTATCTTATTTATTATGCATTTTATTTAGTAAAACGTTTGCACCTGCTACGTTTTCCCAAACCTTCCAGGGTTGATTATAGATAATGCCATAAGAAATTAAGGCCGCCCCTAGTAGTAGTAGTAATATAATATTATTACGTAATGTAATTAAAAAACCAATGACATATTTTTTGTTGCGACGAAAATATCCACACCTGCTACAGAAAGTATCATCAAAGTTACTTCTAGTACTGCGGCCGCCAAATAGTCAGCCATGCGTCGCGATTATGGTAAATCTTACCCAAAATATGTGTAGACCATGCCTAGCCATGGACATTTATGGACTGGTGAATAATGAATGATAACGCCGTGTAGTAACAGCGTACGGGATTCCACTACCCTTATCATCCCGTGGCAGATGTAAGAGGCGACTGAATAAAACTAAAATAATAAAAATAACAGTTGCCAACACGCCTGGCAAGCTTGGCAACTATGCCAAATATCTGGCTATGATGCAGGCAATCTATGACAAAGATCTATGTGTAGCAGTGGAATAATATGCAGTAATGAATAGATGAATAAATTTAATAGAAATATCAAATGAAAGACTTACAATCTCTCTTCACTTAGCACTTCGTTACTGAATTTTAACGCAATAGAGTCGAATGGTTTTACCGTTGGCCGTTGGTTTTGATGTTCGCGTTTTAATCGTTACCTCTCATTTAATAAAAATATTTTTTGAAGACATCTTACGGTACGGTACAATAAGAGA